GCTTATTTCATTTTTGCAATCATTTAATATTTCTACATTAAAATGTTATATTTAAACTTAACATTTATGCACAATCCATCTATGAATTTTGTTGATAGTGATTTCATTTGATTGTTAATAGCCAGCATGTCTTTTTATTCGATTGAATTTATTGATTAAATAAGAACCTCACATAAGAGGACACAGATATGACAATAACTTGTATAATACTAATAAGCCAACATCTCTGGCTTTTATTTTTTATTTTTTGCTTAAAGTTATTTCAGGGTTTTGATCTCTCAACTGAGAGAACACATCCTGTTTATTATATTATAATGACTATTTAATATTACATTTAAACTTTGACTATTGCCTAGACATGTTGCATATTAATTGTACTATTTATGAACCTCAAAGCATATGTTTGTGTATTTTGTGTTACTCCATAATGATATTCTATTTGAGGGCATTTGTAGTGTAGGAATAGGGCCCAAACATAACCTCAAGCCCAAGGGCCCCCACCCCCCTAAGTCCTGCCCTGGTGTAGGTATAGGGCCCAAACATAACCTCAAGCCCAGGGGCCCTCAAGTCCTGCCCTGCTGATAACAGAATAACAATTGACTCCTACTATTGAAACCTATTCTCTCTTTGATACCTTGTCCACATTTCATGCTACTTTGCATGGGCTCATATTTTCTCTTTTCTATGCGTGCCTGTTAGTCCAGTTTGTTCACTATTTCATTACACCATATGGAGCACTTCTTGATCAAAAACCTTTTCTATTGTAGCTTCTATTGTAACTTCAAACTTTTCGTTTGGTTGGCTGTTGATTCTCCTGTTGCTAAATTTGGAAACCACATACTAACATTCTACTTTAACTAGATATGGTAAAATAGTAGGTCTAATAATATATTAGTACAGCTCTGAATTCAGCCTCTTCCTTTGGCATTTATCTGCTGTAACCACTAGATGACACTGTAATGTTAAGATAAGAACATAACTCAAAAAACGAGAACCTAGGTCCTACCCAAGCGGCAACCTCCCGCTCTCTCTCATGAAGCCAACACGGAAGTGACTAAAACTGCAATTCAACGACTGGTTCCAAAAGGTAGTCAATTCCATAGACTCCCCATGTTAAAATGCCCAACTTTACAGCAGAAAAAAACATGTTTACAGCCTGGTACAAAAAATGATTTTGGTCTATATAGCAAATTTTGCCCCTCATGACAACTGTGAGGGTGGTGAATTTTTTTATAACTCATCAGTTTAAATTATATTAAGCCTTAAAGTTCTGCATAATTAAGGGCGTGGCCACTTGAGTGACAGGTGGGTTGCTGCTGCTGACACTGCCGTCGAGCTAGGTGGGCGTGGCTTCAGCAACCAGCTCCCGCCTTTTTGCCCATTTTCGATGATCCGGAAGTGACACGTGGTGACGCGCTGCCAAGATGGTGACGGCCAGCTCTGCCCACTTTGAGCTTCAAAAATGCTCTTCAGAAAACTACAGGTGATGTCACAGACACTACGTCCATGTTTTTATACAGTCTATGGTCCTACCTAGGGCATAAACACACAGACATAATGATAATTAAACTAGAAAAAGGTGAGGAACATATCAAGGAGATAATCAGAAACTAAGGCAACTAAGGAAACAGCAACTGAACGCAGGAAATGTAAACACAAACTAAGAATCCAAAGAACAGAGAAAGCGCCTTTATTGTATACCACCATCTACACCACTTGTGGATTCTGCATAGATAATTTAATGTATTATAATTAATGTGGATAATCATATTTTCCTAAAAACAAATAACATCATTGCATAATCCCCTGCATGCCCTTTCGGAAAGAAAAAAAAAGTTTCAGAAGCAGTCATTGGGGTGGTACCCTTTCAAAAAGTACACTTTTGTACCTTTTATGTACTAATATGTACCTTTAGGGAACCCTTTAGGCACAAAAGTGCACCTTTTGAAAGGCACCGTTCCAGCGGCAGCTTTTGTAACTTTTTTTCTGAGAGTGTGTAAGACCAGGGATGTTCTTGCTGTGACATTCTCATCCTCAGATATCACGCCCACACTGCATTCACTATGTGGTTAGCCAGAGGTCTGACTTCTGGAGACAATAGCTGTGAAGTGACTTTGCTGCCCACTTTAGCTATATATTTTAGCTCTATATTCAAACAGTTTTGCCATGCATTTCAGAAATGACAAAAAAATGTCTGTAAAGTTACATTGAAATAACAAATAAAATATAACCTTACAAGCAGCAGGCTAAGCAGAGCATGTAGTTCAAATAAATCTTTAACTGTTGTACAAACATGTACTGTATATCATACACTCAAGACCTACAAAAGGCCTCTGAGCAGGGTAAAACATGAATGTATTTCTCTGGAATGCATGTGAGACTCCAACAGCTCATTTTGTGAGTCAAAGTAAAACCTGCTGTGGTCTGATCTGTTTAGAAATGTGGTTTGACCATGGTACCAAGAGAACAGAGTCACTAGTCACCAACCTGAACTATGACAAGTGTCACATGTTGTTGCAAATGGAGACATTTGAGCTGCAGATCTAAATGCAGTAGTTAAACAAAACACAAACCATGTAGGTTGGTTTGGTTGTGCTCCAGAGTGTTTTTGCTTTGTTTAATTGACAATAACGGACCACTGATGATAATAAACCAAGAACTGAACCAAAAAGTGAGCATAAATACACAGGACAAAAAGGGGATCTGAGCTAGAAACAGGTGAACAGAACAGATTTTTTTTTAAAGCTACTTTAACTATATATTTTAGCTCTATATTCAAACAGTTTTGCCATGCATTTCAGAAATGACAAAAAAAATGTCTGTAAAGTTACATTGAAATAACAAATAAAATATAACCTTACAAGCAGCAGGCTAAGCAGAGCATGTAGTTCAAATAAATCTTTAACTGTTGTACAAACATGTACTGTATATCATACACTCAAGACCTACAAAAGGCCTCTGAGCAGGGTAAAACATGAATGTATTTCTCTGGAATGCATGTGAGACTCCAACAGCTCATTTTGTGAGTCAAAGTAAAACCTGCTGTGGTCTGATCTGTTTAGAAATGTGGTTTGACCATGGTACCAAGAGAACAGAGTCACTAGTCACCAACCTGAACTATGACAAGTGTCACATGTTGTTGCAAATGGAGACATTTGAGCTGCAGATCTAAATGCAGTAGTTAAACAAAACACAAACCATGTAGGTTGGTTTGGGTTGTGCTCCAGAGTGTTTTTGCTTTGTTTAATTGACAATAACGGACCACTGATGATAATAAACCAAGAACTGAACCAAAAAGTGAGCATAAATACACAGGACAAAAAGGGGATCTGAGCTAGAAACAGGTGAACAGAACAGATTTTTTTTTAAAGCTGGCGGAGAAAGGGTTAATAGAAGATAGATAAACATATTCAACCAACAGGTGCTTGAGTGGTGCATTGGGTGGGTGGTGGTCAAATCCTGTGGGGAAAGAATCATGCGCAGCACTATTACTATCACAGTTTAAGACTGATGGTTTACCATCTGTCACAGAAGTGTTCACATATTTCAAGTGCTTTTATTTGACAATGGTTAACAAGTTTGTTTTGTTCTGCTTGTGGCGTCTGTTTGGTAAGTTATGATCGTATTCTTAATTTGTTTCAGGTTAATAAGTAGGTCATGAACTACTTTTTAGCCAGGTGATTTACATTGTTTGTTAGACCTACATAAACGATGCTGCAATCAAATAAAAATGCATGTTACTGATTTGAACCACAAGCGAAAAACCACAAGATTGAAAAAACACAGCAGAATCTGTTCTTGCCACATTTGAATATTGATGATCACCGAGACATCAGCTAAACATTTATTTCTTGAAAAAAGAGGATGGGGAGTAAATTATGACATAATTTTAATTTTTGTGTAACAATCTAAAAAAACAGAAAAGAAGCTATGTAAACTATGCAGTCACTATTTAAGTTGTTTTACTTCCAGTTAAAATGATTCAGAGGGGAACTGAATGTACAGTACCGTGCAACAAAAAAACAACTTCTGTTCTCACTTATTCTAAGCAGATTTGAGTTTTTGCAGATAATATCCTTGAGATTCTTGTAATTGCGAGTTCCTAAAAGAGACTGTTTAGAAATACAGAGGGGCATTGCTCAAAAGTAGAATTAAGAAAGCCAGGATAACCCAACTGAGGGACTGTATAATCAACAGTCTTCTGCTGTTCTTTGGTCTTCGTTTTACATTTGAATGGTTTAAATCAGTTATTTTATGTAAACAAATTATTAACCCTTAATCTGTGACAAACTCTATGTTTTCCAGGTGTCTTTGGTGTTGATGTGGATGGAATGGAGTTGGTATCAGTGCTGGAGGGAGATTCAGTGACTCTAAATTCTGGTCTTACTGAAATGACGGATGATGATCTGATTCTGTGGAGGTTTGGATCTGAAAATACTTTAATAGCTCAAATCAATGTAATGGCCAGCAGCATCACTATATATGATGATGATCTCGGTGGGAGATTCAGAAACAGACTGAAGCTGGATGATCAAACTGGATCTCTGATCATCACAAACACCAGAACTGAACACGCTGGACTCTATAAACTACAGACCAACAGTGTGAGCAAGAGTTTCAGTCTCACTGTCCATGGTGAGTTATCAGTTTCACATTTTACTACACTTTTAAAGGTTCTGGATCTTAAAATTTCAATTATTTTCACCTTCAGTTATTAAAATGACTAAATCATTTCAACATTTACACAAATGTAGAGAGAGGACTGACCATGTTATAGCAATTATCATACTTGTTGGCTTGGGTCGCTAAAAGTGAATTCACTCTCTCTCTCTTACACACACACACACACACACACACACACACACATGTCTGGTCAGCTATCCTTGTGGGGACTCTACATAGGCGTAATGCTTTTTCTACTGTACAGACCGTATTTTCTATTGCCCTACACCAACCCTACCCCTAAACCTACCCCTCACAGGAAACTTTCTGCATTTTTAGATTTTCAAGAAACTTCATTCTGTGTGATTTATTAGCTTGTTTACCCGTAGGGACCTCAATTTAGGTCCCCACCATGACACGAGTCCCCATGAGTCTCTATGTATTCAGGTTTAAGTCCCCACCAGAATAGAAAAACAGGTACACACACACACACACACACACACACACACACACA